TGGCACCATAGTCCAGTTTAGACAAGGCAAGACCAAGACAAACTGCAAATTAAGAAGAGAAATAGAAACTGTTTAATGTCTCCTTTTCTTTCCTTGCTTACTCTATGCTGAATGCCAAGTGCAAACAACAGAGCTTTTGACAATGATTGACAGGAAGCCAAAATGGAGGCACCCAGTTGCAGAATGATGATGCATGGATTTACATTTAATTGTATTTTTCGCACCTCACATATACATAATACATGTCCCGTTGACCTCCTGGTGTGAGCTTTCATTGGCAGAGCATTAGAACACCTAACACCCAACAGTATTTGCAGACAACAGCCTCTCCAATTATATTTGCGTTACAAGGTTGCTAAAAATAATACTTAACCTTCTGAAAGACGTCCTTCGCCATTATGCTTCTCTTTCCATTTCCAATCCCACCAATGTCTTGGCCATTCGCATGGATATTGGTCTGCTGGGTTTATACTCCTATGTCTGTAACATTTGTTCCTTCATTGAAAGACTATTTCTACAACTTTTTACTTCCTCCAAGATAATTGCATGCTGTGATATGTCTGACTCACGGTGATGACGACCTGCAGTTGTCCTTGCCTTGCACTCACTCATTGGTTCTGGGATCGGATAGAAGTATGCGGGGGGCTGCCAAGTGTCAGGAGGGTATATTTAAAAATATATTCATGTGGGTAGCATGGCTCCATAATAGTAATAGTACAACCAACCATTAACATTCCGAGTGCCAGAATGCTTGTTCACAACACGGCAACTATTAAAAGTCACAAAAATTGTGTATTCATACTACCAATTTTATCATTATCGCTTATAAAAATACTTTATACATACTGCATACTTCAGGGCTATATTTAGATGCTTGTAGACACATGCAGACTGCAGAGTAATGTTTTTAGAGTTAATCACAAAGCTCCAAACGCCTGAATATTTTTTGAATTGGCCAAAAAGTTCTCTGAATGCAACCTGCTAGCAAACTTTCCAGTAAATAAATAGATTAATGGGGGAACTATAGCATTTCTGGAATTACATCATTGAATAAAACAATGAAATTCACCTATAACTTCCTCATGCTATGCTGATTAAATTGACCTCAGAGAGGACATCATCAGACATGCTCACCCTGCATAAGTGCAGCCATTGATGAGCAAATTCTATGTACACCCATCATCCTCGCGTTGTCGTATCTCCCAGTTTTGGGAGGTGTGAGCTGCATACATGATTATCAATATGGGCAGAAGTTACCAAAAATGTCCTGGACTAGCCACGTCCTCAGCCACATTAATCATACAGATTTCCAGTTTTATAATAAGACACAATTTTACATTCTGTACCTTAAATTCAGCCATCTCCTGAATGTCTGTTTCACCTTCCTAATAAACAATGAGTATAATCAGTCAGGGTATAACTCTCTAACAGCCAATCAAGTATCACAAAAGGTGTCAAGATTTAGTATATACAGCTGAACTATTTTGCTGCCAACTAGTATTTTATTTTATTTGATACGAGATATTGCCATCACAAGCATGTTGCAGGCATTTAAATCCCAAAGGCGTGGTAAGTTGTCTTCATTTTTTGAGTATTCCCCCAATGTAATTTACTGCAACGCAACACACAGCATGCAATAGATTAAAACAAAGAGAAATAACTAGTGATCAACCGATTATTGGTCTGGCCGATATTATCGCCCGATATTCGGTATTTTCGACAATAACGGTATCGGTCTAAAGAGATATCGATATTGCCGATAATACATACCAGGACCGCGGGGCCCATGACAAACCCGGTGGTCCTGGGGGGGCCCGCAGCAAGTGCTTACTTACCTTCCCAGCAGCTCCCTTCAGCTCCCTGTGTAAATCTCGTGAGTCCTACGGCCGTCAGAGCGTTGCCACAGGTTACCATGGCGCTGGCCGCAAGATTTACACAGGGGAGCTGAAGGGAGCTGCTGGGAAGGTAAGTGCTTGCTGCGGGCCCCCTCTGTACTTTCCATACCACTGGACCACCAGGGAATGCTGTATCTCCCCTCCCTGGTCAGGTAAGAAGCACGGAGGGAGTACAAAAAATAAATTAATAATTAAATATTTATATATATATATAAAAAAACAAACAAAAAAAACGCACCCTCCCCCAAATTACATACCTACAGAAACACACACACACACACACACTGCATTATATAAACACACTATACAAACACACTGTGTATATACAGGTGATACTCGAAAAATGAGAATATCGAGCAAAAGTTTATTTATTTTAGTAATGCAATGTAAAAGGTGAAACTAATATATGAGATAGATGCATTACATGCAAAGCAAGATAGTTCAAGCCGTGATTTGTCATAAGTGCGATGATTATGGCTTACAGCTCATGAAAAACCCAAATCCACAATCTCAGTAAATTAGAATATTGTGAAAAGGTGCAATATTCTAAGCTCACGGTGTCCCACTCTAATCAGCTAAGTAAGCCATAACACCTGCAAAGGGTTTCTGAGCCTTTAAATGGTCTCTCAGTCTGGTTCAGTAGGAATCACAATCATGGGGAAGACTGCTGACCTGACAGTTGTGCAGAAAACCATAATTGACACCCTCCATAAAGAGGGAAAGCCTCAAAAGGTAATTGCAAAGGAAGTTGGATGTTCCCAAAGTGCTGTATCAAAGCACATTAATAGAAAGTTATGTGGAAGGGAAAAGTGTGGAAGAAAAAGGTGCACAAGCAGCAGGGATGACAACAGCCTGGAGAGGATTGTCAGGAAAAGGCCATTCAAAAGTGTTGGGGACTTTCACAAGGAGTGGACTGAGGCTGGAGTCAGTGCATCAAGAGCCACCACACACAGACGGATCCTGGACATGGGCTTCAGATGTCGTATTCCTCTTGTCAAGCCGCTCATGAACAACAAACAACGTCAGAAGTGTCTTACCTGGGCTAAAGAAAATCAGACCTGGTCTGTTGCTCAGTGGTCCAAAGTCCTCTTTTCTGATGAGAGCAACTTTTGCATCTCATTTGGAAACCAAGGACCCAGAGTCTGGAGGAAGAATGGAGAGGCACACACTGCAAGATGCTTGAAGTCCAGTGTGAAGTTTCCACAGTCTGTGTTGATTTGGGGAGCCATGTCATCTGCTGGTGTTCGACTGTGCTTCATTAAGTCCAGGGTCAACGCAGCCGTCTACCAGGAGATTTCGGAGCACTTCATGCTTCTTTCCGCAGGCGAGCTTTATGGGGATGCTGACTTCATTTTCCAGCAAGACTTGGCACCTGCCCACACTGCCAAAAGCACCAAAGCCTGGTTCAATGACCGTGGGATTACTGTGCTTGATTGGCCAGCAAACTTGCCTGACCTGAACCCCCATAGAGAATCTATGGGGCATTGCCAAGAAAAAGATGAGACATGAGACCGAGCAATGCAGAAGAGCTGAAGGCCGCTATTGAAGCATCCTGGTCTTCCATAACACCTCAGCAGTGCCACAGGCTGATAGCTTACATGCCACGCCGCATTGAGGCAGTAATTGCTGCTAAAGGGGCACAAACCAAGTACTGAGTGTCAGGACATGAAGGGGTGCTGCCCTGAGACAGCAATATCTCTTTAAATGTGGGAACCCTGTTTGCAGAGAGTAAATGCCAAGACACAATGAATAGAGTAAATAGATATATATTATAAAGAAAACCAAAAGACAACGGATAACAAAAACAATAAACAAATATACAATGCCAAAACAAATATATACAATAACTAGGATTAGCACGAATAGTGCTGGCAGAGTATATTGAACAGTCCTTTGGTATAAGGAATACACTTGGGCAGGACCGTGTAGCCACCACGAGTAATCGGCAGGACACAGGTCCAGAGCCAAAAGGCAGTTATAATGAAACCAGGAAGCAAGGCCAGAAGCAGGATATCCGAACAAGAGAAGCAGGGTCAGAGTCACTGGATAAGATCAGAGGACAGGAACACAGAACCAAGGGTCGCAGGATACAGGATGAAAGAGTGCAGAGTCAATCACAGAAACCAGGAAACAATGATCTGACAAGGAGGGAATGGTGAAGCCAAACTATAAAGGTGCTTAAAGGACCACTATAGTGCCAGGAAAACATACTCGTTTTCCTGGCACTATAGTGCCCTGAGGGTGCCCCCACCCTCAGGGTCCCCCTCCCGCCCGGCTCTGGAAGGGGGAAAGGGTTAAAAACTTACCTTTTACCAGCGCTGGGAGGAGAGCTCTCCTCCCCCGATCCTCCTACGTTCCTCCTCCTGGGCTGAATGCGCACGCGCGGCAAGAGCTGCGCGCGCATTCAGCCCGTCGCATAGGAAAGCATTTACAATGCTTTCCTATGGACGCTGGCGTGCTCTCACTGTGAAAATCACAGTGAGAAGCACGCAAGCGCCTCTAGTGGCTGTCAATGAGACGGCCACTAGAGGATTAGGGGGAAGGCTTAACCCATTCATAAACATAGCAGTTTCTCTGAAACTGCTATGTTTATAAAAAAATGGGTTAACCCTAGAAGGACCTGGCACCCAGACCACTTCATTAAGCTGAAGTGGTCTGGGTGCCTAGAGTGGTCCTTTAACAAGGGCCAGGTGAAGTGCTAAAATGAAAAAAAATGAGGAACAGTGCCAAACAGTAATAGTGGTGAGTATGGGTACTGCATGAAGGCATATCAACTAAGGAGTGAACCGTGACACTGAGTCCATATGCATGCTTATACTTTTCAGAGGTCCGATATTGTTCTATGTACACTCCTTGTTTTATTGATTGTATGTAATATTCTAATTTAGTGAGATTGTGGATTTGGGGTTTTCATGAGCTGTAAGCCATAATCATCGCACTTATGACAAATCACAGCTTGAACTATCTTGCTTTGCATTACTGAAATAAATTAACTTTAGCACGATATTCTAATTTTTTGAGTATCACCTGTAATGCAGTGTGTTTGTGTAGTGTGTGTGTTTGTGTAGTGTCTGTATAGTGAATGCAGTGTCTGTATATAATGCAGTGTGTTTGTGTAGTGTGTTTATGTAGTGTGCATTATATATAATGCACATATATAATGCACACTACACAAACACACTGCAATATATACACACACACATTGCATTCACTATACACACACACACTACACAAACACACTGCATGCACTCTACACACACTACACACACACTGCATTCAATTTACGCACACACTGCATTCACTTTACACACCACAGACTACATTCACTATACACACACTACACAAACACACACTCTGCATTCATTATATACACACTACACAAACACTGCATTCACTATACACACTACACAAACACACTCTGCATTCATTATATACACACTACACAAATACACACTGTATCCACTACACACACATTACACAAACACACACAGTTTCCCTGTCTAAACACACTGCATCCACTACACGCGGCATGTATATTTTATGCATTTACCTTTAGAAATAGTTTATTTTTCCAAAATGGTAAATGTACAGAATATCGGTAAATTATCAGCTATCGGCCTGAAAGTTCCCAGATTATCGGCTCTACAAAATCAATATTGGTCGATCCCTAGTATAAAAATGTAACGTGCTATATTTGACCCTGTAACTTTTCAAAACACCATAAAACCTATACATGGGAGGTACTGTTTTACTCATGAGACATCACTGAACACAAATATGTGCACTTTATTGCAGTAACAGCTAACAGTATTATGACATTCACAGTTAAAATGCCATGCAGAACACGCAGAATTTAAATACCTATATATGTATATATATTAAAATTATACGTGCATATTTAAGTAATATTTTAGCATAATTATGTGATTTTATTAATTAAAATTTGATTGACATGCCTGACAACCCAGGCAGAGAATGTAATTTGCAAGCACGATAGTTAACCCTGTAACTTTCCAAGACACCATAAAACCTGTACATTTTATTACAACGAGGTATTTTTAGTAAAAGTTACATTTTTTGCATTCTTCACACATGAATGGCACTTTAACTGAGGATATTATTGTTGTAATACGTTTTACTATTTTGAAACACTGTTTCTGTTCAGTGAAGTCTCCCAAGTATAACAGTACCCCCCATGGACAGGTTTTATGATGTTTTGGAAAGTTAAAGAGTCAAATATAAGGCTTGCATTTCATTTTTTTCACATTGAAATTTGTCAGTTTGGTAATGTTGCCTTTGAGACCGTATGGTAGCCCAGAAATGAGAATTATCTCCATGATGGCATACCATTTGCAAAAGTAGGGAACCCAAGGATTGCAAGTGGGGTATGTCCAGTGTTTTTTAGTAGCCACTTAGTCACAAACACTGACCAAATATTAGTTTTTTGCTTTTTTAACACAAGAACTAATATGAACACTAACTTTGACCAGTGTTTGTGACTAAGTGGCTATTAAAAATTACTAGACATACCCCACTTGCAATACCTTGGGTTCCCTACTTTTGCAAATGGTATGCCATTATGGGGTAATTCTCATTCCTGGGCTACCACACAGTCTCAAAGGTAACATTACTAATTTGGCAAATTTCAATGTGAACAAAAAAAAATTAAAAAATGGAATGTGCTATATTTGACCCTGTAACTTTCCAAAACACTGTAAAACCTGTTAAAAGGGGGTACTGTTGTACTCATGAGACTTTGCTGAATACAAATATGTGCATTTTATTGCAGTGAAAGCTAACAGTATTATGACATTTACAGCTAAAATGTCAGACAGAACTACAATTTAAAAAAAAAAATCTTAATTTCTCACAGTTTTTTTATTTTATTCATATTACATTATGTTTCATATATGAATAGTTCATGAGAAATTAAAGCCCTGTTTCTTCTGAATAAAATGATATATAATAAGTGTGGATGCACTTAATATGAAAGAGGTGAATTACGGTTGAACAGACAATATGGCGCAAATTCCAGTTTTTGTTTACATTTTGTTTTGATCAGAACATGTACAATTGACTCCGTCCTGAAGGGGTTAATGGGTTAAACAGAAAGCTCAACTTTGCTGCTCTTTGCTGTAGCACATAATTCTCTCTCTCTAAACACACACACACACACACACCGTCCTTGCAACTAAGGAAGTGATCCTTTATAGCTTGAGCTAACAAATGGAAGAAAGTTTCGTTTTCCTCGTTCTTCGTTTTTTAAAACATTGTTATGCAAATCAGTAGCAAATAAGAGATAAAGGTGTTTACTGGAACACAAACAATGTGTCAGTAAAACAATCAGTTGATACATATCAATTCAGAACAGTTAGTGTACCAGACAGGATTATTAGCTAAAGTGTGAATTGTCAGGGATCGGCCACAACAGCCGAACTGCAGACACAGCTAACTTCGATAACGTTCGGCTATCGTGACCTAAAATTTGAACTTTATGTTAAATTCCTGACAATTCACCCTTTAATAAAAAACCCTGTGATTATTACGTAAAAACATGCAAAACTGAGCAGTGGAACCACAAAGAGCTATGGTTTTTACATCAACACTTAAAGGGAAGGGATTCATGCTGAAATAAGATCATTTAGAAAACACGGCTGCCTATTAATTGCCACTAAGTTAGCACATTCTGCCATGCCAGGATTTTCTCACCAAAAGCAGTAATATCAGTCTAATCCAGCTCTTACAGCGAGCTTCCTGTCGCATGTAGAAAGTGAAAGCAGATTGCAGAATCATTGAGTGGATTCATAGCTATGTCTATTGTTGCTTTTTCTTCACACCACCATCTAGTGGGAACTCAGAGAATTGTTTTCAAACATGGTCTGGCATGGTCCTTAACCCCTTAAGGACACAGCTTCAAAAGCTTGTCTTACCCTTAAGGACACAAGCCATTTTTCTATATTTTTGCTGTTTGTGTTCAAACGCAGTTTGCATCTCTGTCATTTATTGCACCAACACATATTATATACCATTTTTAGAGGGAAAAAGTGCTTTAATTTGATGTCACATCTACATAGATACATTCTCATTAATTATAAAAAAATAAAATGCCCCAAAAATGGGAAAAACAAGCAAACAAATAAGTTCTATTCACAGTTTTGGCAATAATAGCGTGTGCATAATATGTCCAGCTTAGAAAAAGTAATTCAAAATAAATTCACTTATGTGTCTTGATTTATAGAGTACATAATATGTATATGATTTCAGCTTATTTAGAAAGTTACAGGTCACAAAATAAAAGGACTAAAATAAAATTTCAATTTGCAACAATTTTAGAAGTTGGTATGTTTGTCTTGTAGGTTTAGTAGCCATCACAGAAAACAAAGTTTCCATACAAAAGTATATTTTTATATAAAGTAGACATCACAGACTATTTACCTAAGGTTATTTTGACACGTTTTACATAGCCAATCTCTGCTAAATATTTGAGTAAAATTGTGTTTTTTTTCTCTATTTTGACATGTACACATATAACAAGGTTTCTGTAATGTGTATTTCGTAAAGCTGGTGTGTGCTATTCCTGCACAGAACCCCATATTGTGTTCAGCTACGTCTGTTGTGTATAACAATACCCCCATTGTATGCCTTTGGCACTATTCTGTGAAGCTACAATGCCATATAAAAGACAAGGCTATTTCAGTTTTTATAGTTAGAATTTTCGTAGATGAATTTGCCGGGCCTACGTCTTATTTTGGGGTATTATAGCAATTTCACTGTTCAAATAACCCCACAAAGGGCTTCCATTTGATAAAGCAGGCACCCCGGGGTATCTTATATTGCGTATATTGTGCCTTAACTTGTCACCATTTTTTCACCAATTTATGTCAATGTTTGTGGTGAGGGGAAAAAATTGCATTTTTACATACATGTTGCGTATTTCTTACACTTGATATGTACCATTGTCATAAAATCCCCCAAATTATGTTCAGTTACATCTTCTGAGTAAAACAATATGCCTAATGTATGATCTACACCAGGGGTTCCCTATTAATTTTTCCCGTGGAACCGACATAGTATACCAACATCGTGGAACCCCACCAAAAAAATTTGCACAGTAGCACAAACCTTTTAATAAGTGGCTTTTTTCATTATCATTTTCAAATATTTTGATCATAAACTGTTTAGTCTTATGATACTCCTGAAGTTTTCACTTTAAAAAGGCAATGTCTTTATCTTTGTACTCTGCGTGGTTTTGCTCAAAAGGATGACGTAATTTAACAGGTGGTAACAAACTGTTTGGCAATATTTTCTGGCAAAGTCAGCATTGTGGTTGAGGTATATTTTTATTTCTGGCACTTGTGAATCCAAATTTTCAATAGCTGTCATCATATTTTCTTTTCTTTGTTTGAGAAGAAGATTGGCTAGCATTGTGTGCTTTTCTTTTTTTCTTTGACTTGTCACTTGTCTTTGCTATTTGAGGAACAGTAGATTCAACTATTTTGGACTTGATTTCTTGTTGTATCGTCTTTCTCAGTTTCTATAATTGTCGAACAATTAGAAGTAGTAATCATTTTTCGCTTGATAGTACCTTGTTTTAACCAGGTGTCCAAATTCATGGTTGTTGGTTGGTAAAAAACAAAACAAAACAAAATCCTTCTCTAACCAGAAAAAACACAGATCTCACTAACTGAATGCAATGGATACTGTTTTTTTTATAATGCTCTTAGAAAGATCTTCATGTAAGAAGGATTTTGAATTAGTCTTGCAGCAAAAAGATTAGAACACTTTTAAACAGGTCTCACTACCTTACTGCAAAGGATGCAATTTTTTTTATATATAAAGCTCTTAGAAAGAAATGAACATAAGCATTATTTTTTCTTAATCTTGGAGTAAAGAGAACACTTTACTACAGATTTCACCAAAGGACACTGTTTTGTTAACAGCTCTTAGAATGAAAATTATTTAGTATATCACAGATTTCTACTGATAGTACACAGAAAAAATAAACAAAAAAAAAAATACACACACATATATATATATATGTACAATAAACCAAAAGCCTTGCACTCCTACCAAAAAAGGTTAGAACCCGGTGCTCGATTGCACAATAGATATAAAACAAATAAATAATCAGCACTCCCAGGGTTTGTAAATAAGCAAAAAAATACTTTACTCCGTAAGTCAACGTTTCAGCTCCTC